GGGGGGAGTTCGTGATGGTGGTGGGACCTAATAGGGGGAAAGTGTCCAGAGGACTCCGAAGTGGCCGAGGAGTGGGTGGGTCATTGGGGCTCTTTTCCTAAAAAATCCTAAGTGCGTGAGAGTGAAAGAGGAACAAAAGAGAGCGAGCGAAAGGGAGAAAGGGGTGCTTTTCCATTTCTTCCCCCCCCTCCTACCCCCGCTCTTTTCTTCCCTAACACATGAGGGATATTTGGGGGGGTGTCGAGGGAGAAGGAGGCAGAAGTGGCAGTGGGGGAAAAAAAAGAAGGCATTTCAGCGGCACCCACATAATGACGAGCGGGGGCGATTTTGCGGCGTCCTGCCCCACCGCTGGGGATCTGGCCACGGAATCCTTGTCACTTTTTTTTTAAAGGGGGGGAAAGAAGGGAGAGGGGAGATATCCGGGGTGCCGCAGCAAAGGTTTGGGGTGTCGGGCGAGGGCGAGCCGGTTGTGGAAGGACCGCCACCGCTCACGGTTTTGTTTACGGGTTTCCTCAGGAGAGGGAGGAATAAAGGCTGGAGGCGCGCCGGGAAGGGAAGGGGAGAAAGGACTTTTTCCCACCCAGATTTGGTAGCGGCGGGATAGACCGGTTGAATGTGCGGCGTCTGCTTGCGTCTCCCTTTCTGGAGGAAGGGGGGGAAAAAGGCCTGTTCAGATCAAACGCGCCGCAGCGAAGCTTCTCAGGGGTCTGCTTATTTATTTATTATTTCCCCTTTCCTCCTCCCTCCTGATTTGGCTTCTGGACTTTGTGGCGTGCGGGCGCGCGTGGCGGCGTCTCTTTCTCTGGCTCGCCCTCTCCCTCTCTCTGTGTGTGTGTATGAGTATGTGTCGATGTATAGAAATATAATACGGAGCTCCCCAATTCCGCCATTTTGGGCAAACTTTGCACACGCACGCACACACCACACGCGCAGAGAGACGCTCCTAGCAGTTTGTAGTGGGAGAGAAGGAGAGCGAGCGAGCGCGCGCGCGGGCACGTCTCTCTCTCTCTCTCTCTCTGTGTGTGTGGGGGGGTGCGTGGCGGCGCGCGGCGGAAGAGCTCTTGTCTTGACTCCCGTGTTGTGTCTTCTCACTAAGTGTAAACATGTGCGGGGTGAGGATCCGGAGGGGGATTATCTTTCAGGGGAAGAGAGTGCGGTTAAGAAACGCTGGCACGATTCCCCCCCCTTTCCTTCCTGAGAAACGGTGTGTGTGTTTTGGGGGGGGAGAAGAAGAGAGGTTTTTCGCCTGCGTGCGTGTGTGAACGGGTGCTTATAGAATCCAAAGGGAGCGACGGCTCGTGCGAGTGCTGCTCGCGAACCGGGCAGAGGCGTCCTTCATGATCGCAACTTTTACAGCCCCCCCCCTCTTTTCGCCTTAGGAGCCGCTGCGCCTTCCTGGAGCCCCGCGCGAGTGTGAGGGCCGTGTATGTTGACACACTTGTTCTATCTACGCGCTTCGTGTAGGCGAGAGGGCTCGGGAGGCGCGCTTCTCGGCTCCCCTATGAATGAGCCTGTGTGAACGAACGAAGGCCTGCCGCGTGGGATGTTAGGAGTGGGAAATGACGGGAATAGGTTCCTGCCCGGGCGGCGGCGGTGGTGGCGGCGGGGAGGCTCTTCTGACGCCCCCTCCTCGCCATTCACGCTCGCCTTAAAAGAGGAGGACGTCTGTCGAGGACGGGAAAAGTTGGGAAGGGCTGCGCGGGCAGCCTCTCTCACGGCGCCCCCCTCCGAAGGGGTGTGTGTGTGTGCTCGGGCCGGGCCGGCGGGGGTTTAGCCTGAGGAGACCCGAAACGGAGGGCGAAGTCTTCTGTGGAGAAAGGGCTTTGAAGCCGAGAGAGAGAGAGAGAGACAGAGGAGGCTGGTGGAGCTCGGAAGGGAGCGGCACCGGTGAGGATTAATGGTGGCGGCGGTTGGGGTGAGAAAAAACCCAGAACCGTTTCTTTCCTTGGCAGGAGAAGACAAGCCTCCCTCTTTTTTCCCCCCTCAAGGTGCGGTGCGAAGGGAGAAACGGCAAGGAAGGAAGGAAGAAGAAGAAAGAGTCTTGAACTTGTTTTAAGCAGCCTCCTTTCTGTCGGTGGCTCCGTAAGAAAAATGGGACCCGACGACTAGAAACGAGCCTTTCTTTCATTATGCAACTTCCTTAGTCAAACGCCTGATTTCTCTCCTCCATCCGCAGCCACCTTTTGTCCGCCGCACCACGGCCGCGCCGCCTTCCCCGGGGTGTGTGTGTGTGTGTGCGCCTGGCCCTCCGGAGAAACCCGAGGCGCCCCAGGGCTCCCTGCAGTTGCGCCCCGAAAAAAACGAGTCATGATACTTTGACCTTTTGACAGGGAAGGAAGAGACAAACTGAGAGGAGTGTGTGTGTGTGGGGGGGAGGGTTGTAGCCTCCAACACGGCATAAGATTTGGTAGGTTTAGTATGGGGTAATCGGGGTTTGAGGAAGTTGCACGTAAAAGACTTAAACTCCTTTCTCCCGACCTCTCCCTCTTAATTTTTGCATGAGGGAGGAAGGGGAGGTATGCTGAGTTATTTCTCCAGAAAAGTTTCAAGTGTAGCAGAAATAACACTCCAAAACTGGCCAAGGAGGGACCCCTACTGGTGGAAAGAAGGTATCCACCCTAGGGAGGAAAGTTCAAATTCTGGCCTTCAAAAGTTTTGCAGCCATTGTACTTTAACGTTATGAATTAGAAAGAAGTATGCTACTTATCGACTAAACAACAACCACAAATGTTACTTTACACCATACCTTTATTTCTCGGCCTCCACCCTGCTGGCTTTGTTTTGTTTTGTTGTTGTTAGAGTGTTTTCTGGTATATCAATGATAGAAAATTAATGAGCATTTCTTAAGGATGCTAAGAGATCAAATTATTTCCTGTTGAATACTTAACATGGTAAACAAATCTCACATTCTAATTGTCAGTTGTCATTGTGAAAGTATTCTACTGTATATCTTTTCCTACCTTGTTTCTTTAAATCCATCAGTAAACTGGTCAGTTTCACTTTTCAGTGCATCTCTGTTGATACAAGACAATCTGAAATAGCATTTAGCGGTGCCGAAACAAAATTGTGTGGGTTTTTCCTCTGCAGAATTTTGTTATAACTGAAAGATTTCCCCATGCATCAGCTATGTATTATTAAGGTTTTTTCTTTTGACAGAAAATTTGTTGGTTGCTAGGATCTAGTCATATTACCATGAACATTTGTAAGGTGATAGCAGGGCCTGCACAGATTAAATTCAGTAGATTCATTTAGGAGATTTAAGATATACAGATTGCTGTGTCTCATTATTAATTGTGCTAGTACAGGAAGTTGGGAAGCCTTCCTCAAGAGTTTGGAGGTAAAAATTGCTAATTCATACTTCAAACTGAAGTAACCTGAGAATAAGTTCATGGGTTTAAACAAGATTGTATCTTCATACATTGCCTTTTTGTTAGACTAAACATGTCTGGTGAAGAACAGCCTGGCTTTCAGATGTCTGTCTAGATCAGCAGTTCTGAAAATGCATTTCCAGATGTTGCTGGACTTCAGCTCCAAAAATCCTAGTCCAGTGACCAGGAAATCTTATCATTTGGGGACCCATATTTTTGAACCGTTGTTATGGATTCTGTCAGTTTGTCTCTCCTTAAATACAGTAATCATGACAGATAGATGAGAGTCAAGAATACTTGTCTAAACACTGAGAAGCTCTTCATTCTGATAAGATACATTGTGCTTGTATTTAGAAAAAACTTTGTTTTCCATCAACCAGGGGACCTGTGTACTGAAACTGGATGGATGAAGTTTTGAGTTTGCTATGGGAGACTTAAGTTGTTTAAGACCGAGAACCCAAGGTTTTTAACTTTCCAGTTCTCAGTGACTCTGTGACCTATCCTGGTGAAGTGTAACAATGTTGCATCACTTTATGAGGTCCATTGGTTTGTCTACCATTTGCTCTTCCATCACACCTTGGCATAATAGACAGATGAGAAGATCAGTACCCCCCTCCTCCAATTTCCGGTTCCTTTTCCCAGCTATGCTGTTTGCTTCGAACATTTTTGCTTGGCTGGATGAAGGTATCCCCTCAATGTAATATTTGAATTTAATTTTGTCCCAACATGGCTGTCACTCCTTTTTGTTTTTTGCAGAAATGCCCTTCCTCTTAACACTTACCAAATAGGTCTTTGTTTCATCTCTAATAGTAGCTTTAACTTGGATGGGGATCCATCAGATATTTGCAAGGTAGTTGGAACTTGTTTGCTGTAGAAATCACAAGTAAAATCATGGAAAACCCTAGGGCCTATTTAGCACACATAAAAGATACCTTCATATATTTTCTATGAGGCATGTGTTGAAGAGTAAGCACACAGCCTTAAAGGAGTAATGTGACTTTACAGATTTATCTCTTTGAAACTTGGTATAAGTTACCTAAGCACACTTGTCTGTGTAAATAAACAATGTCCACACTTCTTTCTAAGAAAATAAGAAACTTACATTTATTAGGGAAGTACATTGGTAATAGGAAAGATGATAAAAGCCCTAGTTCCAGCTAAATAAGCCATTGCTGCCCCCTTTACCTCAGGGAACAAATGAAAAAAATATCTCCTCCTTAGGGGAACAAGAAGAAGGCTTGAGAAGGAAGGTGGCTTCAGAAAACATGTGAATAGCCATTCAAGGCTGAAGGAAGCTCAGAGCAGATAAAGGACAATCTGGGACATTTGAGAAGATCTTCTCTACCTTCTTCAGTTTAAATCTTCAGTTTAACCTGAATTACACTGGTCACTTCCAACAATGTGAATTATGTGTGCGGACTTCAGATGTGGACTTCTCTTGGGAACGTCAATATTCTGAAGACGGAAATATTTGAAGTATGTTCTGAGCACACATGTAGTCAGATTGGTATATTGAAGAGATTAGGAACATTGACCGCTGGAACATTGAGAGGGAGACTGAATCTGATTAGACAGGATACAGAAGACAACTTAGGAGAGGACTTTTTCAGTGACTTCTTCCATATTATTGCTTTCCATGGGAAGCTCAGTTGGCCTCTTCTCTACTATCTTTCTGATGACAGGCAAATAACTTTTCAGGCAAGGTTTTGATCGTGCATTGCCCAGCAGAGAAAGGAGTTTTTAACAGAGGAGGCTGCACATTTCTTCTTTAAAACTTTTCTTTATACAGTATATGTTTCATTGCTGTTCTTGCCATTTCTAAACTTGTTTAAAGTTTTATAATTTTCAAATATTTATGTGTCTATTGTCTTCCCTCTGCCAGTTTGTGAGTTGTTTTGGATTCTTGAATTGGGAGGAAGGCGGAATCTAAAATAAATATGGTCTAGAATCCATGTTAAGGCCCACTCCATTTCAGTGATGAAACTGTTCTCTGCTACTACTGACTCAGCACTGTGTGTTGATTAGCAAAGGGATTTCTGTACCTCAGATCTGAAGAATATTGAGTGTTCTCTGCAACTGGCTTTGATGATTGGTCTGTTGAGCAATGGTGGTTATAACTGTTTCTTTAAGAAATGTCTGTGTCCCACTTCTTTAAAAAGAAACTTGTGGGAACATAATTGGAAAAAACATAATTAGATCCCTCCACTGTGAATAATAAAACTGTTTCTGTATTTCAGTATTGAGCTAACCATTTCTAGTGATCAGGCTACCAAATTTCCATTGGTGCTGTATTCATTAGGCTGAGTATTTATCTAAAAATTTCTTATGGGGAAATGTTCTTTGATGGCTCGGAAAGTGAAAGGAAAGAAGATTCCTCCCCTTCACTTCAGGAAGGATCAATAATATTTATCATCTAACTCTTGTGGTTTCTTGGAATAAAGATTTCTGATAGCAGCGTGTGTACTAAGTACAAAGGGGAGACGGAGCATGTGCTTTTCTTTTACTTTACAGTCTTTCTCAGTGCTTAATAAATACAGCTGTAGTCTTGTGTTTGAACCTCAGATGTGTTTGGGTGCTGAATAATATGACAAAATATTATCCTCTTTTTCTGAAATTAGATTTATCTTGTCCATCCTTTGAACAGAAAAATGAAAAATGATGCAAAGTATAAGCAGAAAAAGAACATCAGACTTTGTTCTGTGCACTGAGCATGAAGACATTCTTCTACACTTAGACATGCTCAGTAGCATACTTTAAAGAAGTCTGTCGGTATAAGGAAAAGTAATCCTATATAGCCAAACCCTCCCAGAAGCTGGTGCAGGAGGACTCTTCGGACTCTTTGACCATTGATTTCTAAGTTCCCTAGAGCTCTTTCCCTATACTTCTTAATGTCTACATGAGGCCCCCAGGAAGGCATTCTGGAATTTTAGATGTGTTGTCTTATTATAATAATGCTGTCCAGCAATATTATTTTTCAACTGATGTTAAGGGGGCTGCTGAAATTCATCATTTTTTGTATACTGGTGGGTTGGATATTGGCTCACAGGTTGAAGCTTAGACTAGAAAAGACAGTACAGTAGTACTGTCAACCAACAGACAGACTAATCTGAGAGTTGTGTTTTAGATGGGGTGACATTCCCTCTGAAAATTCAGGCTTATTGCCTAGGGGGAGAGGCGCTTCTAGACTTGGATTCTGGAGGATGAGTTGAGTGATGTTGCCAGGAGTGCCTCAACAACATGCTATACCTGGGCCTACCCATGAAGATTAATAGAAAACTGTAAATAGTGCATAGTGCAGCAACTATATTACTTTTGGCTGTGTACTTTATGCACATTAATAGATCAGACCTACACAAAATAAATACGGTACTCTAACTTCCTTCCCTGCCCCCAAGTACATTTGAGGGTGCTGATGCTTACCTGTAAAATCTTACATAGTTTGGGGCCTGTTTTTGCCATGTCATCTAAAATGTATAGATCAGTGGGAATTTGCAGTACCAGTAGTAGCATCCTGACTGTAGAGCATCATTCTTGCCGATGCTAGATTGGCCCTGTCTTTGTTTAACTTTGTGCAGGTTGATCATACTTCTTTGCTCTGTTCAACATTTGGAGATTTATAATGTGATTAATTTCTGTCTCCTCATACTTCTGTGTTTTTAAAAACTTTTAAAAAAATGTCCTTGTTTTATATGGCATTGTTTTAAACTCTGAAAAATTTGTGTCATCTTAAGAGGAAAAATGTCTCAAAAGTAGTTTTATAAGTAAGTAAGTCAGAAACACATTATGCTTACTTATAAACTGTACTGGGTGCATTGTAGGGAAACAGAGAACCCCTCTGAGCCTGTGGTCCAAACTCACTAAATGTCTGTAAAAATCTGGAACTTTTAGTCCTTCCATTGATCATCCTTCTTGTGTCTCACAGTCGAAGGATATCATGTAGGGAAATATTTTGTGTTTTATAGGACACATCCTGGTTTGTCTTAGTTGTTGACACTGCTGAGAGTTTTGACAATCCCTGATAGGTGCTGTATCTTCTGCTGTCTTCTACAATATATTGTTAAATTAATCAGTCAATCAAACAAAGAACACTATCTTTTTTTGCCTGTTTGTGATATATTTTGGGAGGATTGGAACTATGTCCAGTTGTTTTTAGAGCACAGCTATCATTTTACAGTCACCTGCGTTTAATCTCTTTGATTCTGAACAGTACAATTAACCTTATCATTTTGGAGAGGAAGAATTGTTCACGTGTCAAGTGGTGTTTTTTGTGCTGTATGTAACAACTTGGTACTTAAGCTGTTGTTGAATTTAATTGGATGGCTTCACTTAATGCCTGTTGACAAAACAGTTTTTTGATTGATAGTAAGAATTTACTTCCATTAACACATTACCTGTTTTATATTATAAACAGGTAGTTTGAGTAGTGGCAGTGTGGAAAATGGTGATTAATGAAGACAAGGAAAGGATAAGCACTATGCTATCTCATTTAATACTCCAAGAACAAGCTAATCAGCTGAAGAGCAAATGTGGGAGCAGTGCTATAATTCAGGAAATTTAATGTTTCAAAAGTATAATGCTCATGTAAAATTATCTTCTATGGTTATTTGGAAATTTGTTTCATTGGGACATTTCTAAGAAAATGGTGCTTAGAACAGGTATAAAGAAAGGTCATGCGTGAATGCAGGCTTGATCTGTTTTAAATCCTAATTTCATAAAGTCTCAATTTAATCATCAATCTGCCCCCTCTCCTCCAAGTACAGTATACTCTTGCTTGCTGTAACCCTAATATATATTTTTCACAATCTACTTGCCCAGATTGACTTCACCTACACTAATCCTCTATTCACTGACAATTCAGCCTCTGAAAGCGTGGATTGAGCAAGGAGATTGTGGAAAAGGTGATAGTAAGTACAGATTCATTTTGGGAAGAGGGATACTTGTATAATGTGCTCTGTTCCTTGCCAAAGTGATCACTCAGGGAGGGGTAGAGATTTCACTTTGTACAGTATAAACAAAGTTGCAGAGAGCTCATGTAAGCAAATCTTTTGAGAGCAATCCTGGAGGTTTTAACAGGATTCCTGAGAATTTCCAACATTATATCACAATAAAAGAAAGAGGGGGAAAAAGCTTGAAGGGTAATTTAAGACGGATTTAAGAGGGCTAGTTAGATCAGTAATTTCACATTTCCATAAAGTGCTCTTAAGAAATACATATTTTGTAAGTATAAACCCAGTTTGAGAAGGATAAATTTCAGATATCTGATAGACAACATACTAGGAGAGGTAGGAAGTTATAATCTGTGCAGAAGCCTGTGGAACTCTGTCAAATTGAGGCCCTAATGATATTAGCACATTGTTTCCTAATACAGAAAGAATTTGTAATTCCTATTATGTGATGAGATTGTTGAGCTATAATATATTTAAGATTAAAACTATGATCACGCAGGGCCTTTTTTTGTTATAAAGCAAAACTAAATTAATATTAAAAATGTAAGAAAAGCATTTCAGTTAAAAAAAACTTGATCCTTATATCATCCATTCACCATTCATTTTTATTTTAAAATTGATGTTTATCTATTTTAACTGAATGTCAAACCTATGTAGCAGAAGTGGGTAAATAACATGGCACAAGTTATTATCAGGTTAATTATGTTTGACACTTTCACTGATGGTTTCTTTTTCATTTTTCTTTGTTCCAGATAGGTGATATCATTATTAATAAAACTTAGTAGAAACTGCATGAAACTGCAATATCTGGTGAGTTGGATAAGAGCCTTTAGAAAGCTCCATTGCTTGAAGACTGTGTAGTTTACTATGTTCCTCTTGAAAGTTAACATTTGAAGGGGTGATAGATGACCTTCACTGGAATTTTATTTGAATCTTGTAAGCACTACATAAAGGCCAGTGTTAGCCTTTTCCCTCAGAATAGGGCAGATTTCCTGTTACAGTTTAGTGCCGTAATAGTGACCTTAGAAAAATTGATCCAGTCATTGTAGCCCTCTTGTGCACTGAGTGAATCTTTTTTCTTTTTCTTGTTCCAGAAGTCTTTTGCCTTTACCAAGAGATATAAAAAAGGACGAGGGTCAGTGTGAGAAGCTGGCCAGTAATTCTTTTTGTACTTCACAGGAGAGCATTTTGCTTGTCCAAATAGATGCTGTGAAAACAAGAAGGAAAAATAAATTACATTTATAGTTGGGAGAGCATATGAACATGAATGTGCTATAGGCAATGAGAGGCATAATAGATAACGATTGGTGTTGACGTGTTGTAAGTTGAAATAGTTCATATCTATGAATTACAGCTTTTCTATCATCCATTCAGGCTAACTTGCAACCCCTTAAGATACATTATGCAGTTCAATGGGTTTAAACTCCTAAATAAGAGGGTATAAGATTTTGGCCTTTACGCAAAATCCTTACTGGCCATCGTGACCATTGGCCACCTGATAAACCAGCAGGCTAGTTGAAGTTACATTAGGTCTAAATTCCTCTTGTGCAACTTTGTGCTCCCCAAACTGGATGGCAGCATCATTTGGCAACAAGAATATTTAATTTACATTAATAAAACTGTTCCCACCGCCCTTTTTCAGGTTCCAAGGCTGCCTAGGTCTTTCATTTACCCTGAAGAAGCTTTGGGAGCCTTGGGTTGGAGAGTGGCCTTGAATCACCAAGAATCACCACTGCATTGCTGCCTCATGCATTAAGACCACTAGCAGCAATCTGGCAGACATTTTGGGGTATTAAAGGCTCCCCCCCCAAAGGCTTCTCCAAGGTAAAAGGAAGCCACGGGGGTCTCAGAACATGAAAGGAGGGAGATAGGAGGCTTTAAGTTAAATTGAATGTTCTTGTTAGGTAATGATATCATCTGGCTTGCACCAATTATGCCAAGAAGACCCTGGGCATTGTGTTGGAGGAAGTTTGGATATGGCATAATTTGGTTCCCCCAGGCCCAATCTCCATCTGTGCCTCTCTCTATTTGCTGGCAGCTAACAGAGCTAACAGAACTGGACTATAAAGAAGGCTGACTGCCGAAGAAATGATGCTTTTGAATTGTGGTGCTGGAGGAGACTCTTGAGAGTCCCCTGGACTGCAAAGAGAACAAACCTATCCATTTTGAAGGAAATCAACCCTGAGTGCTCACTGGCTCCAATCCTTTGGCCATCTCATAAGACAGGGGTGGGCAATTAATTTTTATAGGGGGGGGCACATGAAAAATCTGAACTGTGTTTGGGGGCCGAACCAACTTTACTTAAAAATAAAATGAAAGAGTGATATTATGATTGTTGTTATTTTAAACTTGTTAATCTTCACAAATACTAAAGAGTTTTTTGTGGTATGTTAAAGATAAGCAACTGATCAACTTTAGACAAAAAGCTATAAATAATTTTGATGTCCAGCGGGCCAGACAGGAGGAGCTCGCGGGCCATATGTGGCCCTCGGGCCGCACTTTGCCCAGGTCTGTCATAAGAGAAGACTCCCTGGAAAAGATCCTGTTGTTGGGAAAATGTAAGGCAAGAGGAGAAGGGGACGACAGAGGACGAGATGGTTGGACAGTGTCATTGAAGCTACCAACATGAATTTGACCCAACTCCGGGAGGCAGTGGAAGACAGGAGGGCCTGACGTGCTCTGGTCCATGGGGTCACAAAGAGTTGGACACAACTTAATGACTAAACAATAACAACAAAACAGAGCATTTCTTCCAGCAGTCTGACACTTTGGCAGATCTGAGATCCAACGCAGGAGAGGATTTCATATGGTGGAAGAGATTTGTACCCTACAGATCCCTATAGCTGGGCTAGCAGATTCTCGTGTTAATTTACACAGTTAGGCTCCAGTCCTAAACTAAGTTATCTTGACATAAGCCCACTAAATTCATTAGGACTTACTTTTGCATATATATGAACAGGATTCCACTGTCATTCGGTTGCGAAGAATATTGGCTAGGTCTTTTTTAGAGCTAACAATAACAGTGCTAATTATAATCAAATTTCCAACATAGGGGAAACTAAACTGTAAAAACGCAGATACAGGCAGTGTTTTTGACTGTACAATATATATCATGGCTTTCTTACAATGCTGGCCAAAGCTGATAAGGTCACCTTGTAAGGAAATCAAGATTTCTGCAAAACCTTAACCCTGAGAGATTTCAAGACTGAATCTACCTCCGTCAACAGAGCTTGAAAAATTTTAGAATGTCTCACCAATCAGCCAAAATTTTCACCAGTCAGCATGACCAGACTATAGCCCTGCAATTTATTGGGATTGGGAATCGCTGATTTATATCCTCAGACTTGGGTTGCTTTATTACCTGTGTGCCTGTGGGATCATGAAGCTTGTATTTTGAATGCCTTTCTTTTTAATGTCTCCAGCAAAAATAAAACTGAAAGCGAAAGCGGCCAGCCTCTTAAGGAGCCACGGTTACCTCCCACCCCAAGATGTGTCCTCATTTGGTTGAAATTGGGAGCAGGGAATCTCCATATTCTCCAGCATGGAACTACTCTACATTCTCCTGCAGAGCTATACAGTGGTGCCTCACACAACAATTGCTTCATACAACGATGAATTCACACAGCGATGGGTTTTTTTGAGGAATTTCCCCCATCGTTTAACGATGTTCTCTATGGGGGAATTTCAGTTAACAATGTCCCTTTTTGCTCATTTAAAAGTGTCTTAAAATGTTTGAAACCTATTTTAAATGCTTGGATTCCATAGTGCACCTTGTGAAACATGTGCAAACTTAATTTGGTTTTGTTCTGAGTCTTCATTAATTTTTGGTGATTTTTTTATTTTCCCCATTTAAATCTTAATCCATTCCAATTGGAACGGATTGCTGTCTTTAAGTGAAAAAACCCATAGGAAACATCGTGGAGTGAAACAATGTTTTCTCCATTGGAATGTATTGAAGCCGACTCAATACATTTCAATGGCTTTGCGAAGTCCGTTTTTGCTCATTTAAAAGTGCCTTACAATGTTTGGAACAGGTTTTAAATGCTTGCAATTGTTAGCCCACCTCCTGAACCCTATGCAAACTTAATTTGGTGTTGTTCTGAGTCGTCTTTAATTTTTGGTGATTTTTTGAATTTTCTCTCATTGGAATGCATTGGACGGAAAGTTCAATGCATTCCAATGAGAGAAAATTCAAAAAATCACCAAAAATTAAAGACGACTCAGAACAACACCAAATTAAGTTTGCATAGGGTTCAGGAGGTGGGCTAACAATTGCAAGCATTTAAAACCTGTTCCAAACATTGTAAGGCACTTTTAAATGAGCAAAAACGGACTTCGCAAAGCCATTGAAATGTATTGAGTCGGCTTCAATACATTCCAATGGAGAAAACATTGTTTCACTCCATGATGTTTCCTATGGGTTTTTTCACTTAAAGACAGCAATCCGTTCCAATTGGAACGGATTAACCGGTTTTCAATGCATTCCTATGGGAAATGGTGTTTCACAGAACGATGTTTCACACAACGTAGATTTTTTTGGAACCAATTAACATCGTTGTGTGAGGCACCACTGTATCTCTATGTGCCGCTGAAACTCTCTTCTCAAGAGAAGAGGGCAGTTTTCCTTTTGCAATGGGATGGGGGAGGGGAGGACTTCAGGAATAGAGAGAGAGTTGAAGGAGGGTGGCAGGGAGGGAGCTGTGACTCGTCGAGCAGCATTTTTCACTCGTCACAGTGGACGAGTGCATTTTGCAAGCCCTGTCCGTCAGCATGTGGCTTTTTATTTGTATAGTATTATTAAATTTACTAGAACTGAACTTCCTACTGTTTGTGCTTTAAATCAGTGTATTGAAGTAAGACAATTAATGGATTGAAATTGAAATCATAGATGTCAGAGGTGATGCTTTTTGAATTTCTTCTTTTCTTGAAGGGTATAGGTTTTATTTCAGTGGATGGTGTTAACTATCCTTGTTGGGGCACGTTTGAGTTGGAAGTTGTTTCTGACCAAGGATTGCTTCTTGATAAACAGGTTGTTATGGTTGCTAGGAGTGCCCTTCATCATCTCTATCCCCTGTGCTCTTTCTTAGAGTGAAAGGATCATGTATTTCCAATGGACGCTTGTGCAAATTCCAGCTTGACTCTTAGAAAACACTCTGATTAGAGTTGCAATTGAAGAAGACTTCAAAGCTTGATGCTTTGTCTACATAAGATACTTCTATGGTTGCTCATAAAACAACACTGTATAACCCTAGGAAAGCAGTGTGTCAAAAACTTAAAGAAAAAAATTCTTTGGCTGACTAAATGATTTCATTATTTTATGCAATATGTGTAGGCAGCAGTCTTTCATGATCCATTGATTATACCATCACACACATCTCACTGTACAATCGCACCCACAGTATGTGGTTATATCTCAGTAGTTCCTTCTCCCTTTTAAGATACTTTTCTGATATTTGCTATTTATAGTTACTTCTTTCATTAGTTAGTTTTTCTTTCTACTCTATAGAGGAATGCTTAGATCTGTCTGTGAATTCTTTCATTTTCCCTTCATTCAAAGCTACAGAAAAAAAGGACTTTTTTTTCTTTTGTCACATACAATGAGCTTTAAAAGAAGATAAATGTGAAGGCTAGTAATAATAGTAATTATGCACTTCCAAATTGATTCAAACTTATGGTGACCTTTTCTTGGGCTTTCTAGGTAGAGTGTATGCAGTAGTTTTCCATTCCCTTCTTCTGGAGGTGCTTTGGATTTATGCAGCTTGCCCAAGACTACATGGCCTGGCTCTTCTCTCAGGAGGTGCAGTAGGGAA